GAAAACTGTACATTGTTTCGTGTTTTCCTCAAAGCAGCTTTTTCCATATATACTATACCCTGTTTGGGATAGGTATTTTTTTTTTTTTGTGTTTCAAAACATATCGTTCTGCTGATTTTTGGTAGCCCTATCAAAAAAAAGCATACATTTTTTTACAGTACATTCGATATTCGTAGGAAAGACAAAAGAAAATAAAAAGATACTGACTCCAAACAGTGTCAAGTGCCTGTAAAAGGAAATTTTCGACTCGACCGAACATAGCATCTCGAAGCAATGTGGCAACCATTTTTCGGCATTGTGATTGTAGTATTACATAGAGGATAACATCTAGAAACTTTACGTCTATGATAACTTTTTCTCTACTTGTCAAGATCTATCTGTTCTGAAAATTTTAAAAACTTCAGAAAGGAACAGGGATACTCTGAATGAAAATCAAATAGAAACTATGAAATATAAATTAGTTTCATCAATAAATAATACAATGAAATTTTCGTAAATTCTATAGTATCTTGTTTTTCTGTCATAAAGATTCGTCATTTATTTAGAAAATGCTTCTGAATAGTTATTATACAACAAATAAATACTAATCTATTTAAAAAAACCAAAACAATCTCTTCTATTTGACAACATACTTGTAAATGAAATGATCGAATATCATTTGGAGTTTTCCATGTCAAAGTAGAATTATTATCAGACCAATCAGCTTTAATCAAAACTCTCATAGGAGTTGATTCTGTATCATAATTAACAACAGCTAAACGAGTTAATAAAGCTAAAATAAAAATAAAAATAATTTATTATCATTAAAAATGAATTTAAATTTTCATACGTGATGCATGTACACTCAATGTACTTGAATTTAATAATGATGATGATAATATATGATGACGTAAACAATTTGTATCATCTAGTGGATCAATTATATCATCATCATCATTATTATTATTAATATTTTGTACTGGTTGTAATAATTTCATTTTACGTTGTCTTTTTTCTAATTCTTTCAGTATTTGTGACATTTGTGTACGCATATCAAAACTAAATGCTGGATGATTAGCAGCTAAACAAAATATAATTAATATTTCATCCATTGTTCGTTCATCTAAATCATCACGTTCAAGAAGCATATCAACTAGTTTAACACTTTCACTAGCTTTTAAACGACGAAATAAACGTAATGCACATGGACGATTTTTTGCCCAAAGAAGAGCTAATAAAAACAAAAGAACGATGTTTTTTTATTTTATTTTAATCTATATATTGAGTGAGACAAAATGATTGCAACATCGAATATTTAGTAAAGTCTTGAATTTTTTTCCAAAAGATATGCCGTCGAATTCTCTATAAAAACTAGATGCTAAGAGTCTTTGGATTTGTTCTCACGGACTTTTAGAAAACTAAAATAAAAGATGTATGAAATATTGCTATGCCTCATTGTATTGGAAGTAGAAAAAATATTTTTGATAATTTATATATTTTGCACATATATCTTTACACAGACAAATCATATAAAAAATTGAATTTTTCTTAAAAGACGTTTTCTGGAATTTTCTACAATAGTCAATGTCAAAGATTCTTTCGACTTGTAATAATGGATTTAGAGAGAACTAAAATGAAAGATGTATAAGACACTCTAATTTCTTATTCTAACAATGATGTAGACACTTCGGAAAATACAAGTTTACGATCTAAATAAAGTCCATTACACAAAAACTCATTGCCCAATAGCATAGTACAGATAATATGACCCTATTGATATGCAGAAAGAAAATGAATTTTGATGAGTGAGGAATTAGGACATCTTATACATTCTTGATTGTAGTTTTCTCTAAATCCATTATCAAAAGTCAAAAGAATCTTTTATTTTAACTATTCATTGTAGAGAATTTCATGAAACACTTTTTGTTAAAAAAAATATTCTATATTCCCATCATTTTGTCTCTCTTGGTTTATATTAAAAATCTTTTCGTGTTTGTTGTTCTTTTTTTGCTTACCAATATCAACAATAGCATGTGCTCGTGTAAATTGATCAGTTAAATCTAATTTTTCATCAGATCCAAGATCATTTTGCTGTTGATTATTTGTTTCATTATTTGTTGTTGAATTTTGTGTTGATAAATGATTTGTTTTTTGTTCAGCATGATATAAATATTCATAATCTTTACGTGCTATTTCTTCTAAACAAGTACCCAAATAACGTAATTCTAATGGTTGACATAAATGTAATAAACCATATAAAAATTCAATACGTTTTGCTCCACTTAAATGATTAAAATATCGATGAATTTGTTCTTGATTTAACATGGATTTTTTTATTCATAAACTAATGGAGTTATTTACTTTTTTTTCAACAAGAATAAATAATAAGATTTTAATATTAAATAATTTCAATTCTATGTTTTTTTAAGAATATTTACGACATGATTGTTGTACTCGTTAGATGAATAATACGTTCTAAAAAAAGAAATCACGATTAGAAAAATAAAAATATCGAATGAATCTCGTTTAATATCAGTCGTTAGAGAATGAAAAAAAAAACAGAGAACGATCATACCTCGATATAAAACAGATTTATCCTCTATCTATTCCCTGTCACACATATTATTCCACGACTAACTGAGCTTATATTTAATCGGGTACAAGATAGACAGAGAATCAATGTGCCCAATCATACAAATATATTTCATAGATGTCATTAAACGACAACCTTTACAAAGAAAAACAAACTGATAAATGTTGTTATGTCTGACAATGATGTATAATTACCTGTCATCATATATATTGATCAGATCGGTCTCTTTTTTTGTTTATATTTCATTCGATCGATTGAATTTTGTTAGAAGAGAATCTGTTGATAGATATGTTTGGAGAAAGAACGTAAGTTATCTATATTAGATTTGCTTTTGTTTTTATGTCATTGACAAAATGTTTTTAGTACATCTTATTTACGACATTTACATTTGGTTGTACATTCAGAACAGCAAAGGTTTGAATACATTAATGAGATTTTTTTGAGATAAATAGAAAATTATTCTTTTAGATTACGTTTTCCGGTTTATGTCATTCAACCGGAAGAATCTTCCCATCAACGGCAACAATTGGAACCTTCTTATGAAACAAAAGCAAATGTATTCCATACCTATTTACAAACGGTAACAATCTATTATTAATATTCAATTAGGGAAAGACAAATGAGAAAAAGTCGACACATAGAGTGTCCAGTAAGTCATGAAACAGACACACTAAAAATTGAATATGTGCATCATGGCTCGGCCAAGCGGACTCATTTTTTTACCAAGGATAGAGGCATGTTCACACTCTAAATTGATACGAACAAAGTCAGTGAGAACCTTTGTTAAATACCACTATTGATCTCAACAAGAAAATTTTACTTGTTCACAGATAGGAAAAGAAAACAATATGCTCACCATAGGTTCTCATTAATCTCGTCCATAGGGATTTGGAGTGTGAACATCCTTCTGTCTCTGGTAAGAAAATCAACTCGTTTGCTCGAGTCATAATGGAGATACTCAATTTTTAGTGTGTCTGTTTCATAACTTACTGGACACCCTATACTTATTACCCGTGTAGTCTTTGGAAAGCATACGATGGGCACAACAAGTGGTAGAAAATTTGAAGTATATATTTTTTTTTTGTTCATTCTGTTCCAGTTTGAGCTTCTCAACAGCCATTGGCTTCCGAGTACTCGAAAATTGTATCCTATCGAGTACCCATGTTTGACTCCTCAAATATGTTTCGATCCTCGGCACTCATCAAAGTGTCGAGTACTCGAGAAGAGGAAATCTATCGAAACAATACTATCGATTCCTCGAGTGCATTTCAACCACTTAAAACCTAGCGAAGTTCCGATTACTTGGGAAAAAGAAAAACATAGCGGAAGACTAATTTTTAGCGCTCGAGTAGTAGCAAACTTAGCACAATAGCAGTTTTCATGGTTGAATCTAATTTTCATTACGTGAAACTTCTAAAAAAAAGCAATTTTGAAATGTCTTTTACTTCTGTTCAACAATCTTAGCAAAATTATTTATGTTCAGCATAACTTTCACTTGAGTTTCATAATTTTCTAAGCAATATCTTAGTATCAACTGTTGAAAACTAAGACTGAAATCCGTCAGCATTCTTGAAGAGGACACAATCATAACGAATTTTCGTGTTGTAAACATTTGAAAAAATTCTCAAAGTGTTAATATTACGCTTTATCACACAAATTAACTGATTATCAATTAAGCTCTTTATATAGCATCTGAAATTCAAGTAAAGCTTTTCCTTTGGGTAGAGACGTGCAAGGATTTTTTCTCTTAAATAAAATGTTATTTCTAGGTTTCTTTAAAATTAATAGCAAATATTGATAATATAAAAAACACAATCGTCAAAGTATTATCTTCATATGATTTGAAAAGATTCAAGAATCAGGCATCTATTGGACAAACTACTTTTTATTTTGATAAAATTTCGATCATTTCAGAAACAATCGTTTGTGTGATCGGAAAAGTGGGAATTCGACAGCTCCCGATAGAATTTTGATGCACATCAGAAACTGAAATCGACATGTCGAAATACCTTCTGTATGATTAGTTGGGTAATCAATTATTAAACGTTAAATTTAGAGAGCAAATGTCTACTGAATGACCTATTTTATTGTCAGTTATGCACTAAAATTTTTCCTCTTGAAGTGTGTACTACAGAAACTCTAAAAATTGATTGAATGAATTTAAAAAAAAAATACTCTTCTACAATGACTTTCTTTTATAGTCGTTTGTTACAGTAGTCTTCAATTTAATTACTAAACCAGCTAATTTACATATAAAGCCTATTTGAAATAATCATCAACTACAAAACTTAGTTCGTCAGGATTTCAAGTATAGATTTCAATATCAAATTGATAAGAGAATAATGAGGATTTAATCAAAATATTAATCTAAAATAATTCTAGAAATCTTTCAATCTTCATTATTGTATTCCGATTTTATTCTTAACATTATGTCTTGTCATTGCTATTGGTTTACTTTCTTCTCTTTTAACTCATAACACAAATATTCAACAATGTCCAATTTATGATTGTTCATGGATAAATACAACTATAGACTCAACAATACGAAGTACAACAACATCATATAACTTTAATATAACTAGTGAAATATCATTTGTACCTAATTGGAATACATCATTAAGTTCGATAATAACATCAACAAGTACGAGTACAATAATAGTTGATAGAAATTTATTATATGGTGATAATTGTACTGAACATGAACAATGTACATTATCAAAAAATTTATTTTGTCAATATGAATTCGATTTAAATCAAAAACATTGTTTTTGTGAAACAACTTATTTTTGGAATAAAAATACACAACAATGTGGTTAGATTCATAATTTTTACTTTTATAATTTATTATTTTAATTTCTCTTTTTGTTTTTGTAGAACCAAAAAAAGATATCAATGACGGTAAGTAATATCTTTGTTTGTTTTTTTTATTTTTCGTTTTTTAGTCTGTCAATTTGATAATGAATGTCGTCTTGATCATGGTATTACATGTGATCTTAAAACAGGTACAAATATACGACGTTGTCGTTGTATGGGTGAATATTATTGGTCAAAAATAAGTAATTGTGGAGATTTAAAAATTCAAGATTTTGTACATTGTACTGATGAAATATATATTTCATCATGTTTAATCAAAGAAATTGATAATGGTATTTATCATAATGTTAATATTCGACAAATTCAAGATGATGAAATTGAATTTGATTATTTTATTCTTGATTCACCTGAAATACAAGAAATTGAACGTATAGAATGTTGTTGGTCAATAAATAAACGTTATTGTTTTGGTATTGATAGTGAAACAAATAAATTACTTATTGTTATTATTGATATAAATGGTATAGAATCATATCGTCATATAAATCAATCAGTTATTGGTTTACCTAATGTATTAAGACAAGTTGATAATACAATTGTATGTTATGTTGAAGGTAATGATTCAAATTTACTTTCTATTACAATTGATCCAAAAAATAATGATTTATTAACTGTACATCAACGTGGTGGTATGTAAATTAATAATTAATTAATATAAAATAAAATATTGAAATTTTTCAAGGAAAAACTTATGGTGAACGATCATGTTTTTTAGCAATTAATCGTACAGCTTATTGTTTTTATCGTGATATTGATCATCATTTAACAGTTGTAGCTATGAATGGAACAACAACAATACAAGATATTCATATGGATATTCATCCAGGTTTATAAAAATTTAAATAATTAATATTTTGTTGTTTATTTTATATTGTTTTTATTTTTTATAGATACAAATTTAAAAACAGGACCTTCTTGTGGTTGGGTTGGAACAAATATTCTTTTGAAATTATATTGTTTTGCTGTATTTAATAATGAAAAAATTCATCGAATTGAACAAAAAGATAATATTTGGAGTAATTGGATGATTATGCCATCGGATAAAATATTTATTCAACGTCCACTTTTTGTTACTTCAAAACCACCTGATGATATTAGTACAGCTCAAAGGTTATGAAAAAAATTTTTTTTTTTGAAGAAAATTAATCAGTTAAAACTTTTTTGTTTTAGTTGTCATGTATTAGCAATCGATACGAGTAATGAAGTTTATGTAAGTAGTAATACAGATTGTGCTCATCAAGATTCATTTTCACCATGGTCATTACTTCAAACCGATGTTGGTTTGTTATCATTTAATGGATCATTTCGTTTACCTGATGGACGTATTGGTGTCTATGGAATTGGTATTGATGATTTACCATATTATACAACGATGAATCCTGTAACACATAATTTTGAACCAATTAAATTAGCTGTATCATTCGAATAGTATGCTTTTCTTTTGTTGATTATAAATAGACTTCAGAGATTTTACAGTAGAATTCTCTGTTTATCAGAAATAGTCGATATTAATTTGAATCTAATAGGTCTAAAAGATATCTGTCAATGTTTCACATTAATCTTATATGATTTAAGTCGGTTACATACCACATTTTTTCTTAGAGATTATTCGTATTTTATATGTGCTGTAATTATAACAATTCTTTTTGAATTGGATATCTTCTGACACTGATATATCCGAGTTATATTGTAGATTAATTCTTTGAGGATTGACTTGTTTTTTTTTTGTTACAGAAAAAAGTTTGATTTTCACTTGCGAAATCAATTATAGTTAAAAATTATTCATCGTAATTTTTGTTCGTCCAGACTTAATGCAAAAAGGCGCACGATATTTATTTTGAAACAAGAGAAACAAAACACATATCTAAGAAGTATAATCGACAACAATTCAATAACATATGACAACATAAATTTTCTGAAAAGTTTTTCTATTTGTTATTTGAGATACAAGAGATGAAAAGTGTCTAACAGTAAGTCTAATTGGTTGATAAGTCAATACAGGATGATCTATTGTAGATTTTGGAGTACTATAAATTTCTAAGATTTCATAAATAAGTTGTAAATGATAATATATAAATTTAAGTTTTCTTCTCGGTATTGGTTTTATAAAATAAATATGCAATGAATAATGACAAACGGTGTTCCTACTTTTCGTTCCATTCACATTTGAATCTCATAACTTTACAAAGATCAATCACTATTGTTATTCAAAACTAGGTATTATGTAAATACTTATTGTTATGTCTAGTCAATCATCATGATTTAATACGATCACTAAAAAAATGAATAGATGTCCTTTCTTTTTTTCTATACATTTATCGAAATTGATTTTCTTTTTCTGTACTTGATCAAGTCCATTGGTAATTGTTATTATTTTGAATATTTTTTGCACAATTGTCTAAAAGAATGAATACAATTGAAGTGCTAAAGAGTTCTCGAGAGAATTCAATGATGTATTTTTCGGAATATTTACACATTCAAAGTTGAATAACAGAAGAAAATTGGATATTTCCTTATGAAGATCGATATTGAACGACTTGCTATAAGTAAATAATCAAAGAAAAAGAAAAAAAGTTTATGCAAATCTTGATGCTTGATTGAAAAGAATCGTACTATCTTATGTGGTCAACAATATCGAAGAATATTTAACTCAGATTGGGTTTTCGTAACGGTTGGATAGAGCTCGTGAAGTTGCATATGAAAAAGTGTCTTCCAAACTTAAAAAAACAATTTTAAAAAGATTTCATAAAAGTCAGAACTTTTTGATCTATTTTTTCTTGTATTTGAATATAATGGTATCTTAGATCTTTTTATTAATATTTTAAATTTGTTTTTCAAGTTTCAATCATACTTTGTCTTATGTAATTCGCCGAGCTCTATCCAATCATCATGAAAAAAGAAAAATAAATAGTATTAACATTTTGACTTATAGGTATCTTACATGTGTATATTGCAAATATCTAAAAACTTCATTATCTCGTTCGATGCACGCCATGCATAGCTCATATTTTAAATTTGTTAGTTTAGCAATGATAGGTTTAATTTGACACGAATTATTTACTAACAGTGCAAAACTTACCATTATTTGTCAAATTTTGAGACCGTGTATATACAAGACTCGGTCTTCAAAAGATTAAACAAACTTCACTTGTCCACTCGACTGTATTATTTTGAGTATTAAAAACAAGTATTTCATAGTTATAATAAGATTAATCACAAAATGATTTTCTTATTCAATAAAGATAATAATAGTATTGTTTTACTAAATTTTAGTTATCGAAAGATTTGAAAATATACAAATTTTATTACCACTTTAACAAATCATTGCTAAACTAAACACAAGGTCAACTTCAAAGTCATCAACGTCTTTAATATTTCATATACAATAGCTTTCAAAATTATTCGACAAGGTTTATTTTCAATTTTTTTCACTGCCGTCAACAATAATAAGAATTCAAATAGTAATTCGTGTAGAGAATTTTATTTCCAAGAAGAATTTTCTAAGATGAAAAGAATCGCTAGTTTTCCAAGAATAGGGCCTTTTAAAAAAACCGAAACTCAAATTTTTCATTCCTTGGAATTCTGTCTGAATTACTCAGAATCATAGAGCAAACAATTCTTTACAAAATGAAACATCTTTTAGCCAAGATACATCAATCTTACAGAAGATACAAAAATGGTGTTGCTATACAAAATAGCAGACGAAACGACTCTTATGCCTTCTGTAAGATTGATGTATTTTGGCTAAAAGATGTTTCATTTTTGTAAAGAATCGTTTGCTCTATGATTCCGAGTAACTCAAACAGAATTCCATGAGATGAAAAAGTTGAATTTCGGTTTTTCAGAGATCTTATCTTTGGAAAACTAGCAATCCTTTTCATCTTTGAAAATTCTGGTTCGAAATAAAATTCTTTACATAAATCACTCTTTGAATTCTTATTAACGTTTATGCCAGTAGAAGAAAATCGAAAATAAACCTGGACAAATAATTTTTGGAGTCAGTGTAGATACTTTTTTTGTCTAAATAATAAACATTTATTTATAATCGACAAGTGTAAGATGAATACAGATGGTCAAATATCACAAAAAAATTGAATGTTGACAGCTTGGTTTAAAATATTCAAAAAAACTTGAAGTAAAACCGAAAAAAGTAAATCTTTCTTATATGTTAAGTAAAGAACATATTTTTTTTGCGTCTTTTATGTTTTTACAATTCATCTACAATTCTGAGTGTTTGTCTGTCTTTCTTTCTTTCTTTCTTTTCTTCTGTCTTTTCTTTAACGTGCATGACGACTTTTGATATTGTTTGCTCTTCTCAACAATTTTTTGCTCTTTATTCGTCGTTTCACCTATTCTGTCGTGAGGAAGAAGAAAAAAAATAGTTGCCGTTATAAATTTGTCCTTAACAACGCAATGCATATCGTTCGTTGAGAAGCATAAGAAGAGTAAAAGTAACAGATGGTTGTATTATATTGAACGCAATGGGTAGTAATAGAGATCCATTTTTTGATGATGATATAGCCAGTTCTGATGAACGTTCAAAAGAAGATCGAACACCTCCAGTTCCTACTACAAGAAAATATTTATCAGATGATGTTAAAACTACTGAAATAACGGAAGATCCAACTGTAATACCACGTTCATCATCACCACCACATTCACCATTACCACGTTCATCGTTGCCACGTTCACCATCATCACGTTCATCATCATCATCATCATCATCATCATCACGTTCGTCATCATCAAGTTCGTCGTCACCGTCTCCAGCACAACAACCAATAGTTTCACAACCAGAAAAAATTAACGAAGAAGTTCATAAAAGAAAATCTTCATCTAGTAGTTCGTCATCACCATCTCCAGCACAACAACCAATAGTTTCACAACCAGAAAAAATTAATGAAGAAGTTCATAAAAGAAAATCTTCATCTAGTAGTTCATCTTCATCTACTAATTCATCTTCATCTAGCAGCAGTTCATCTTCAACAGATTCATTTGAATCAGCCAAAGATGAAGTTAAAGTACAAGAAGAAAAAGAAAAAGATCAAGATAAAATTCTACATCATTCAAAAATAGATGTAAATACTCAAACTGATCAAATTGCTCTTCGCGATGAATCAGTTCAAACAAATCCAGTTAACATTGAACTATTATCAATACCTACAACTCGTAAAATAGACTTTGTATTAGAATCAAAAAAATTAACAACACCTTTAGTTAAAAATTTATTTGATCAACCAATATCATCAACATTACCAATAGTTAGTTTTTGTCAACCATTTTCTATGACAAGTCATTTAGATGATATTATTCTTGCTATGCCACGTCATTTAATGATAATAAATAATAAAAATTCTATTAGTGTTTATCCATGGCAACAATTAGAAGAAACAACATCAACTATTCTTGAATGTTTTTGGTGTTCATTTTTATATAAACTACTTGTTACAACATTAGAAAATAATCGTTTATTTATATATGATTTTATATCAATTATTGATTCAATTAAACTTCGTGGTCGTCCATTATCAATCAAACATCAAAGTTATTCAAAACAAATAAATTCATCATTATTATTACCATCATCATCTCGTTATCAATTATTACCAGCTATATGGTCTCAAACACGTTTTACTAAATCAAATTCATTAGGTATTTATTATTGTTATATTAGTGATCGACAATCTTCATGTATGTTAACACGTATTGATCATAATACAAGAAAACATGTTAAATCAATTGATTGTTCAGGTGGTAGTATTAATAATAATACACGTGTTTGTGCTATGGGTTTATCTGATGAACGTATAGCTATTGTTTTAACAAATCTTATTATGACACTTTATGATGCTGAAACATTATTAGGTTTACATCAAATAAATTTATCACGATCAACTAATTATAATATACGTGGTATTAGTTCAATTATGTATTTATGGAAAACATGGCTTATATTTGATCCAATTGAAAATAAAATTGTTGGTATTGGAAAACAAAAACGACATTTTGTTAAAATATTACCTGAACAACCAACTAATGCTTGTTCAATGGATAATGGAACTTTAGCTTTATGGCTTGGATATCCAGGTGTACTTCTTTATTATCGTTTAATAGAATAGATTGTTCGTTTGCACTTTTTTTTGTAAATAGTAAAATAATGAGATAAGATAATGGAAGTTTGTTTTTTTTCTTGTATCTCATTTTATTTGAGTTATTATCGTTTAAAACATCAAAATCAAATATTTGAAAGGAAACATCAAAGACGATAGATTTGTACATAGGTTATCGTCGTTTTTTCGTTACTTCATATTATGACCGATACTACACCTTCAGTTCTTGTTTTTCTTCGAGTTTTTAAAATATATCTCTGTATTTATTTTAACATTAAATTGAACGTATCAATGTAAGGATTCATTCTTCAGAGTCGTTTCGGATGTATTATACAGTGACACTTAAAATCGATCATACACCTATCCGATCATCTTATTTTTCTAATATCTCAAGAATATCAACTCTCTATGTCATGTATTTACTCTGCTAGACTAGACGCACTAAAAATGATATACTTCGATTTTGCTTAAAATTGTTCATATACCACATACAAAATGGTTGAATATTGTACTTTATATTTTGAGCGAAACCAAAGAACATCATTTTCAATATTTCTAACTCTGGTAGAATGAATACATGACATAGAGAGTTGATATTTTGAGTAGATAAACTATGAAAGCGAGATTACATTTTGGTGAAAATTGCAACATTCAATCCGTTGAAACTATCTTGAAATATTAGAGAAACAAGACAATTGGTTAGGTATAAGCTATCGGGAAACAAACTCTATTCTTTAGATTTATCAAATAAATTTAAACATTATAAGTTCTAATAACTTCTTAAAACGTAAAAGATATTTTCATATCAATATCTGATAAAATTGAACGAAGAAATTCCATAAAAATGCATGTTAATCTATTAAACATATGTGTTTAGTTTTCTAACTAAGATCTTTTTGTTGTTGTTTTTATTTTCATGAAAAAAAAAAACCAAAAAGAGAACAAATGAAAGAAAGTTATAACAATCTTTTTTTCTTTTCTTCTATCATCATTCCAAATTTTCTGAATATCTGACAAATATATTTGTACAGATCAATTTGGAATAAAATAGAAAAAGAAACTAAACGGAATAGAGCGAAAAAAAAACGATAAAAGAAAAAAAAACCTATATAAAAACAAAACGAACAGCACAATCTGTTAATTTTATCGTGTTAAACGTGATTGTTCAAGATCACATGCTGATATAACACGATCTGATGGCATACGTGGATATGCATTTGTATATATATCTGAACCAAACCAACTTTCTAATGTTGAACGCATTCCTTGAGAATGTTGATGTTGTATTGATGTTGAATTACCTTGTTGAATTTGTTGTTGTTTTTTCATAATATCTAATTGTTCATTAATTAATCGAAGTAGAACTGGTTTTAATGAATTTTGTTCATTAATATTAAGTGAACCAACTAAACGAATCATTTCATTACGTTCATTTAAACAACCCTGTTCAAGATATTGAAGTAATTCTTGTTGAGCAACATCTAATAAAATTAATACAAACAAAATAAATCAAAAAAGGTTTTATTTTATTTAATTAAATAAATTTACTTTTAACACCTGGAGAAAGAAGACGAATAAGATTATACATTTCTGTATAACTTTCATTATTTTCTTGATTCCAATTTGTTGACTAAAATTAATTCAAAATATTTAATAAAAGTTAAATCTTTTACTTTTATGTTTTATTTTGTTACTTGAGTATCATTTGAAAAACAAGATTCATTGGATGATGAATTTTGTATATCACTTTCATTAACCATATTACGTATAAGTGAGTTTAATAAAACAGCTTGATTATAAATACGTGTATGTTCAGGATTATTTGAATTATTAAATAGAGATCGTGAAGTATCTTGTCGTTCAGTAGCTATTATTCAAAACAAAGGCGTTCCTTTTTTTTTTTTTAAATTGATTTCATTATTTTTTTTATAAACATACGTGATGGTGGTGCTGAATAAAAATTTTGTTCATCATCAACATCGTCATTATCATCTCGATTGATATTATTTAATCCATTAATATCAATATTCGGTGTTGTAGGTGTTTGTATAGTTGTTGAACATCGAAGTTGTTCATTTATTAATTGAGCAAGTACATCCTTTTATATACATAAAATAGAAAAATCTTTCAAAAAAAGATTAAATTAACTTCAATAGATTCTTAATTCGACAGAGTGAAGTTTAAAAATGAAAAAGAGTTGGGAAAAAAACTTTTGGAATGCTCTTTGTAATAAAATTCGACACTGAAATCTAGAATTGATGGTCATGATAGATAACATTAAATGAAATAGGACCAAAAACAAAACTGGTCATGGTTAATGTAGACGATATTCTACAATAAAGAACAATAGAAATGTCAGATATAAGTAGAAAGATAGATAAACTAAGCCGAGTTTTGATTTCATCTCTGTCCTAAATAGAAAAAATTTCAAAGAAAATACTTTCGATAACTTTTTTATATATGACCTATTTAACAAAGTAGTCTATGGCAAGAAAGGCTTGGCATAGTATATTCATTCATTTTTTTGGTCACTTGAAGAAAGCTGATTAGAATTAGAAGTAGTTAGTTAGAATTAAACTTTTTCGCTGCTATTTTGATTAATTTTATATTTCGATTAAAACCTATCCAATTCAAAATGTGAAATAGTTTTTAATGGTTCCATTTTGTAGAACAAAGTTTGCTCTGAAAAAGTGTGCTATTTACTATTTCATAACAGATTTTAAAAGTAGTTGTTGAAACAACGATTTTTTTACTATTGTCGATTTCTATAGAAACTACGCCTTTAGTTGAAATGCATAGATGAGATTTCACTTATTGTAATATTCTCATTTTGCGCAGAATTCTATACTCTACAATAATGTTGAATTAAAGCTGTTCTAAGACACAAACTAAGGAAAGAGTGAAAATTCTGATTTTGATTCAAACCAATGATCTTTTAATGGCCAAAAAAATGAGTGAATATTTTGTGCCAAGACTTTTACGCTATAGGTTATGCTGCACAAGATTCATTACTTTGAACAAAGTACTATAAACTAAGAAACTTCTAATTATAAACTATCCATTGAATCGATTTACGATACTCTAGAATTTTCTTTTTTGAATCAAGAAAAATTTTAGCATAATCTAACGTTTGATTATCAAAAAATAAGTTTTGTCTATTTCTGTTTTTCTAAAATAACTTATTGAGAAAAACATATTACTTGATTTTTTTTGACAGTAGTCTGAGTTGACATAGGTATATGCAATGGATGTGTTACAGGCTAATTAATAAAGACATATGGAGACGAAAGAATAAGAAAAATAAATGATACTTTTTGATTTTGACCCATTGAAAATGGCCATGCAAATGTATTATATGAATTTGATTGTTCGGGTGATGTTGGTGTACAAAATGTTGATAAACCTTTTTGATAATGTTCTGATGTTGATATCGGAGTATTAACATATGATGACGATGATGATGATGATGATTGTTGATTTTTAACATCAATCTTATGTTGTTCATTTCTATAAATAAAGTAAAAGAAGATTTTTTTTTTTAGTTAATAAAAAAATTAATTAATTAACTGTTGACGTTGTTGAGCTTGAAATAAACGTTGTAAAATAGGAACAGTATTTGTATTTTGTTCAATATTTGATCGATGATAATTAGGTAAAATAGATTTAACTTGATTTGTATATATTTCACATTGATTTGGATTTTGTCTTTGATACGGCATTGTTGATGTTTGTGTTGGTAAATGATATCGATGTTTATTACCTTCAACTAGTGCTTGTCGACGACTATAATCATCAATCCAAACATGTGATGATTGAATTTGATGTGGTGATGATAATGGTGTTGGAAATATTGATGATTGATGACGTGTAACAACAGATGTTAATGCAGCTACTTGATGAGGTGTTAATGGATCTTTTGGACGACGATTTTTTACTTTCTAAATTATATTTTTAATTTAAAAACTAATGAAAATAAAAAAATAAGAAGATTTACTTCAATAACAACAGGATCAGAAAAATCATATTTATGTATTCTAGTTGGTATTATAGGTCCATCACCTGCACCATCACGTATACCATATGAATCCAATCGAAATTTACCACCTTTTTCAGCTAACATTCGATCAAGATCAATATAATTTTCATCACTAAAAAAATACAATTGAAAATAAAACAATTAGCCTTTTCTTTTTTTTTTCTTCTTTTTAAATTTACTCGAGAAAACGTCGTTCAACAAGATGATCAGGAAAAATAGTTATATCCGGTTGTGGACGCATAGAAAGTAATGTAACCTATTAATAAAACAAAAATAAATAATTCAAAATAAACAATATTATTTTTAACAAACAGTTGTATAACGATATGACATGCGAGCATAGTTCATCATTGATTGTTGTGGTCCAATTGAAGTTCGAGTATTTGTTGATGATGATGTTAGAGGGGTTGTTATTGTATCTTTCATGGAAAATGATGGTGTTAAATGAGGTGCACTACGACTTGTTCGACAATTCGGATGAAGATCTTCTCGAATATTGCCGAGCAACATATTCTTGATTTAAACAAGGAGATCAAATTGTAAATAGAGAATTCAAGAAATTTATCTATAATAATGAAATGTATTCGATCGAATGAATCAACTAATAGAAAAACGAAAGTATAATAACACGTGCTGTTGTTCGTTATTTTCTTTTTTGTCCTGCTCTTCCTTATAGTATCTTCTCGAAATAGAGGAGAAAAGAACGACAACAATCAAATCCAGGTATTCTTAAGAAAAAAAAAACAATCAACAACGGTTAGTTCCATTTATATATATATATATTGATACAAATAAACAAACATAGAAAGATTTCGCGCGTCTAGATCTTAACTGTGGTTATGAATGATGTGATTCTAAATACTTTCAATAACCAAGATTTAATTACATTTAAGAAAAAGAAATTGAAATTTAGAATAATTTGTAAGAGATGAACTAGAAAAGTAAGTATAAATCTTCGGTCAAATATTTGTAATGTAATCAATAAAGACAAAGCGAGTACGGAGGTTTGTAAAATCCACTAGACTGGATATAATCAATCAACCAATCATAAATTCGAAAATGATTCAATATTCTTTAGTCCTTTGTCTAAGAGCTTTGAAAGAAGATAATAAATAAAGATATAGATATACTACATGAATGTAAATAACCAAAAGGTTCGGTTATATCTCAGTTTAATCATAAAAATAAAGGAATATAACTTCCACAATTGATTGTAATCAACTCTTAATATTATAGTTGTAATCGATAACTTTTATTGACTAGTGCGTTTCGGTAGAAAATTTCTTACTAGCCGATATACCGATCGGTAAATACAACTGTTTTTTTTTACTGGTCAGTCTCGAGGTCTTTTTGTGAAAAATCAATTACTTTTTACTAAATCGAAATTCATCATGGTATAATTTAATATATTTTATCGACGCACTTTGATAACAAATTATGCTATCGAAACAAAATCGAATAGTTATTTAACATTGTAATTTATCGTAGATTTTGTGTGTATGTTCTTTTATTTATAACATATATTTGATACAGACATAAGAGATAACAAAGTGAATATAACACAGAAAACAAATTAAGTATAGCATTAATTCAAAACATTCATGACTGACGAATCTTAAATCAATATACAAAGGTAATATCGAATTTGTAGTTCTATGAAGTATTCTGTTCATCTTTAGATACAAAGTGAGACAAAATCTATGTAAATAAATAGTGAAAAACACTATTGTAATAAAAATAGTACTCTAACATTGTCATGGAAGTGGTTAAGCAATAGATATGACTCTCACAGAGTCTGAAAAATGAAGAATGACTTATGTGAGTATACCGATCGATACGGTATTGTCTGACCATTTAGACTGATGCTGATAAGAAAAAATCTCTACTTGTTGAAGCAGTGCTTGATATAAATACTGATTTCTTATCAAATGGAACAGTCAATGAATATAAAACAAAATCGATACTAACTGATACAACTACAACAATCGCTTATTAATAACATTTTTTGCCAAAACCTCATATCTTTTTCCCCTCATAGTTCTGATCGAGAGTTTTTCCGACATATCGGATTAGATTTTGAAAAAAATCCTGTTTTTCAACACTTATTTTATGTTCAATTATCATCTATGTTGAGAGATCACAATTTTCATTTAAAGTTTAGCTTCAACCAAAAAAATCGAACTTGGCCAATTGTTATCAAATCAATTTATTTGTTTATAGTAAAACAATAGATAAAAAAACCTCATTAAAACTTAATATCTGCGAACAAATTCATCGATTTTAAATGATCAAAAGCATAAGAATACATAGTTGGAAATGACTTCTGACACAGTATTATGTTCCTAAGTAGTTCATTAATATTAACTGATAGTTCTCAATATAATTTAACCATTTGAGGCTGAGTGAGATATATATTTCCTACCTTGAGAATTTTGAAATCTTCGAGTTTTTGAGAATCTTGGAGAAATATTTTCAATAAATATTAGAAGCTAGCAGAGATCCGTACAAGATTTATTGGATAATAGAGTGTATGAATCATATTGAAAAATGCACCTTGTGAAGTTTTGACCCTCTGGAGGGGAGGAGGAGGTGCTTCTATTGAGAGTGTACGAGAGTTTACATCGAATTCATCGGAATGGAATGAAACTTTCAGGACTTGTAGGATTCGTACCTGTAAGCATAGCTGTAGGTTCGAAAAAATTGAAACCTTGTGAAGAGGTTCAAATGGGGAGGACAAGGTGAACCTTCCAGCCAAATTGGACCTTATCTAGCTCCTCTATTACAAATGCGAGAAGTCTGAAAATTTTACCATAGATACCACTCGTTGAGGTGATCATTTTTTGTAGCGGATGTTTATTCCCGTGTTCTGTTTTTTGTGAAAAAACCTACAGAAAATGCTAATTTTTGACATTTTTTGGGCTGAGATATCTCTATGAAGCTCAAACAGAATTTTAACTTATATTAGTGTTCTAGAATTGACTAACTGTCCTCTATCTAATGCTGAAACCTGCAAGTCTGTAACTTGTTCCTGAACCAAATGGTAAAGCCATCTTCGAAGCTTACTCTCGAATTTTCCCCAACTTTGTATCCTCCCTCAGAAAAAAACACAGAATTACCAAAATCTGTCCTATAGTGGAACTTCATCAGCACACCTAGCCCTACTATTCCTGGTGGTTTCATCAAATTAGGTTCGGTAGAAAACATTCAGGACTCAAAAGGATAAAGAGATCAGAAATTATGAAAAAATTTAACTTTAACGTTAGATCCACCTGAATTAGTTCATCCTCATATGCTCCCAACATGGTAGAAATCACCGAGGAAAAATATACACTTTTTTACATCTAATAAATATTGATCAATCATATCCAATTTCGATCAGACAATAACAGGGACTTACATGTTCTCATTATCTATCAGAATACGCAAGCATATACTGAATATTTAATTACATATAGATAACACTAAACAATTATTTGATTTGATTTTTTTTTGGCAACAGTTTGTTATTGATTCATTCCAGAATATATATTAGAATAAATGAAGTCTTTAAACAATATCATAATGAATTATTTAACTCGGATATTCCATGGCAATATATCGGTTCTACTAAAGACAATGATCTAATATATTTGATTATGAGAATAATGTATACTTTTTGAGCAACTGTTTATCTAATTATTTACCATTAGACAACTTTCAATAGATAAATACTATTCAATATTAACATATCGAAGATATTATCAATTTTTATTTTAAATTATTTTTATATCATCTCAATTAATAAAATTTTTTGACAGATTTAAAATTAGTTTCTTAAAATTTCGTAAAATAATTTTACGACGGCCATTGAGATGAATGTTTACCGAGAGTATCATCGGATACATTGAGTTCATTTCTCTGAAAAATATTATCAATATGTTCAACAAAACGTTTTAATTTTCCAGGATATTCACAACGATCAATTGAAATACGTAAACAACAATGATAAACATAACATATTTCAAAATGTTCATTAAGTTGTTCAATTGATATATCATCTGGTGATGAAACCCAATACGGTACCAATGGCCATGCTAAATAATCACTTGAAATTATTTCTAATTGTCTTAATTCATTAATAAATTTTCCTGCAATCAATTCGCGTACTTTATTGCTATGCACAGCATTATTATTTTTAAAATATGGATTATCCATCACAAAACAATCCAATGAATGACCTTGTTTTGTAAGTAATGCCCACAATTTTGGTAATAATATTTGTCCATGTTGATCCATAGTCAATATCAGAATAGTTCCAATAAGATCTTCTGTAAATAAATATCGTATAGGATCTTTTAAATGTTCAACAGTGTTTTGATGTATATATGGATAATCAATAGTCGAGTGTAATTCATCTTGAATTGGACATCGCCAAGAGTGCCATCGAGAAGAATTAACAAGATCTTCTATACCGTGTGCAAGACCTGTATTTATCATATTAATACTAATATATATTTGAGCTAAGATTCCAATAGGAAGATTTGTACCAATCATTAATTTTTTACATAATAATTCATGTTTAGCTAAAAATGTTCTATTAACTAATCCAATTGCTCCTGTTGATGTAAAACGTTTAGTATAAATAACAATATCAACATCTGTAAAAGCTTGTCCATCTTGACATGCATCTACAATTGTAACAATGGTTGAAAATCGTTTACTAAGTTCTAAATGAATAAAATCAACATCTATTCGATGACCAAAACGATTTTTTGATGTAAGAAGAATAATTATAATAGGATTATTTTCATTTTTTTGTTGATTATAAATATTTAAACAACGTTGTTTAAGATTTTCTAAAATCCATTTTGTATTATGTTGATCAGGATAATTCATATTAGATCCATTAAATTTCTCAGCAAATATTTCTCGAGCTAAACTTACAAATGGTATATAATCGGATGAACTACTATTAATAAACCATGTATTTTTACGATCTTTGAAAAAGAAATATTGTAAACATTTATCTAGAATTGTATTCGAGGTCGTACATGGAAATATTTCATAATCAGGCCAATATAATCTACTTTCTTGATGTAATAATGTTGTAAGAGTGTCAAATAATGCATTACGATTTTCTTTATAAATAGGCCATAATGTATCATAATAAATACTCATTAATGCTGAAAATTCTGTAACTTTTTTTACATGTAGTGGACGAGTAGCTCCACCAAAAAATATTCCTTCATTTACTCGATAATTCCAGTTCCATAAATGTTCAATTTCATTAAGTCTGATATTTTCTGGTTTTTCATTAAATTGATCAACAAAACATCGAACAGTTTTATTTTGCCATTGAACATAAGCAATAATCGTATTTAGATAATTTGTTGGTTTAATCATTGAACGCATTTTTAATTTAAATAAACGTTCTAATACATGCATACCTTCGGTAACAGTCTCTGATGAATTGGAATACAATTCGATTATATGCCATATATGACTTACAGCCTGTATGAAGAAGAAAAAGAAGACTTCTCATTGTGAAACTCTTTTTTCTCTTATCAAATGAATACTTACAAGAGAAGGTTCAGACAATTGATTGTTCAATACATCATCACTTAACGATTTTACTATATTGCGAATATTGCATAACTCTCGAATCAAAGAAACTTGATGGATACTGTCATATTCTGAAGTCTGATCATTTAATCTTAATCTAATTCGAGTTTGTAAATTTTTTAATTTTATTACAATCTCTTTAATTTCATCTTCTAAGATATACAAACTATCTATTTCCGTTACTTGAGACATTTGCTTAGCATTCAATTATTCTCTTATGATGAAAATTCAAGTTTTATTATACTTACTCGAAGAATTCTAAGCAAGATGATATAT